CGCTTGAGAAAAGCTAAAAATTTCTGGATAACCATTCCATTCGTCTAAAATATTCGGAGGTTTTCTAATAGCTTAACTACGATTTTTGGAGGTTGTGTTAAACAAATGTTAATACCGAGATATTGCTATTATTGTTAAAAAAAAAAGGTCTCCTAAAACTTTCGGTACGAAGACAAAATGTCCCCTATAATTCTCTAACGAAAGCAATCAAGGCTTCTTCATGTCCTAGAACTTTCGACCGGACCCGGGGTAGCTAACACTTTCGGATGAGACGAAAAACCACCTAAAACTCTCGTGACGACCAAGGTTCCCCTAAGACATCCCAACAGACAAATAATTTTTAGGACAACTCCAAATTAACCAAACAGGCTTCTAAAGTATAGAGAAAACCATCTGAGACACGTCTAGCGTAACTGGAAACATTCGGTCGTTGGGTGCCCTGATCTTCTAGTATAACTGATTAAAAAATGGGACTTTGTATAAACTGTGTGTCAAGCCACTTGGACGCCTTTACTAACCCTTACGAACGACAGCAAACAGTCAATTCAAGAATATTTCAGTTTCAAAGGCGATGGGAAACTGTTGTTACCACAGGTGAGTACTGCCAGTGACTGAAGAAGTGATAGTTTCTTGTTCGTTGCAGACGGCTGCAATCACCAAACTGACGTAAAACAAAGACACTGAAACAATACCCACACCACACATGTACCACAATACATAAAAACTTATCGCAATAAATGACAACACTAAGAACTTTATCATGCGGAGAGAGGAAATTAGTAAACTTATGAGTGAACTTTCGAAACTTAACATTTCACCAGCGAAGATACTAAATCTATCATAGTGCGTAGATGCAGTCATTTGGAAACTCATCAATATTAAAGTGTTCAGAAGTTTCGAATAATAAAATATTAAAAACTAAAGTTCAGCTCCTTACATCTTTCGAGAATGTCCTTTTTACAGAGTAACCCAAATTTTAATAAATGCTAAAAAACTAAAAGCATCATTGCATTTGTACCCTATAGTGATTTTAAACTCTGTCGATGAGCGTAAATATATATTTGGTAAGGTCTGTGAAAAATGATACCCTATTCTAGACCCAAACGCTCTGATTTATATACCCTATCCTAGAGTAAACTGCTTGAAAACCATACCCTTCACAGCGGCACATACCTATATAGCCCATATATGGCAGTGCCCCCCCCCCGGGGAGGAGGCTAACTAACTAGAAACTACCTTCAAACTACGAAAACAAACTTTGGATTTCATTAACACGATGCAAAAAAGGCTTTATAAAACGTAACATGCACGAAGTGAAAAGACTGTACTTCTGTGTCCGCGTTAGGGATTTCACAGCGCTGAAGTTGAGCCTTGCTTTGATCTTAACACGATAACACGTTGACTAGAACTGAAAAAGATTCATGAGCACGTTCGACAATGCTAACTAATACAAAGGATAATAGATTTCCTTGTTTGTAAATCATACGTAGGCAAGTATACTGTATCCGCGGCAAAAACCACAAATACTGTAAAATTAGTGACCACGCAAAGACTGACTGCTGCCAAAGCTTGGGGCAAAAAAATAAAACTTTATTGAAACAAACGAGGGAGAAGGAAAAAATACCCGTGGGAGGGTAGGGTGGGTAGAACAATCGGAGCGAGACCGCAAATGACCTTTGAAATGACAAGCGTGCGATCTTATGCTCCAGAAGAAATAATCGTGCATGAAAGCGACATCAGCCCCCAGTGACTTATTGACATGCTTCGGAGCGAGACCGCAAATGACCTTTGAAATGACAAGCGTGCGATCTTATGCCCCAGAAGAAACTTAACACTGGCAAAAGACAGGCAGGGTGTGTACCTAAGTGCTTTGACAAATGCCAAAACCGGCAGATAAATAACGTAAAAGAAACTGAAAAGGGTTCGAAATGAAATACGAAAAACCAGAAAATAGTTGGCAGTAGCAGACCCCCTTATATGCGTCTAGCTTAATGATATTTGCCGATGGCGTCTTGTTGGAGAGGCTAAATGTTCCGCTGCTTTGCCACGTTACTCGTTTAGGATGACGGCAATTGTAAATTATCTTCAAAGGCGTGTTTTCATCGCCAATCGTAGCAGAATTCAGAACATTTGGGATCGCACGTTCTCAGCCAGAATAAATCCCAAACAACTCAACTGGCGCCTCGCGAAAGCAAGTGATTTCGACGACGTCGTTAAGTTGTCGGAGGGAATTTACAATGGTTACGACTTCATTCCAGTTGTATTTCACCAATGGCTTAAAAGGGGAAATGTAGCCATAATGATGCTGTATGCGGACAAAAAACTCATTGGTCTTGAGGCAGGCTATATTGTTGACGATGGGAAAACGCTTGTTCGTCGCGGAGGACGCATCGCACCTAATCTTCGTGGACAGGGTCTATTACGAAAGATGGTACCTGCATGGCAGCAATATGTATCAGCAGTATTTCCTAAAGTCTCCAGGCAAAGATTTTCGACTTTTGTGGAAGTCAAAGCTAAAGGCGTAAGCCCGTTTAAAAAAGTTCTCGAGCGTGATGAGCTGTCCTATTTCGTGGAGGAAAAATCCAAAGAAAATTTCGACAGACGTGATATTTATCCCTGGGAGGTGCTCTGTGTAGACAGCGCTGCAACAAAAGAATTAGAAATAGAGTCGTGTACCCAAGAGTATTTCTCCGACGTTATCCTATCTTCTGCCGAAACTCAGAAGTTGTTCCCCAACAACATCCTGGTATTTGACTGGTGCCCGTATGAGCCTCTCCGATCAAATATCGAGTTAATCCCGGAAAAAAACCATCGCCTTTACTTTTTCGTGGAGAAATGTTCCATCAAAGGCAGCCCGAGATCTTTTAGTTATGGTGTTCACACACAGACAGTAACAGCCAAAAAATGGGAGGCCACAGTTTACACCGATGATCCAGCTGTCTTTGAAGCTCATCTTTTGTATCAGTTCAAGCTTGCTCGTGAAATCATCGAAGGCAAATTCACCTTCTTTTCAGTTCAAGATAGAATCATGACACCATTTGCTCGAAGGGTACTGGGGGGAATATTGCAGCTGAAAGAGGCCAATTTTCTAAACGACGAGACTATGAAAGTGTATGAAAGACCCTTCATTCGTTAACAAAGGTTATTTTGATTAAGGCGTCTGTTAATAATTTCCGTACAGCAAATAAATGGAAACTGTATGTCTGTGGGTACTAAATGTATCGTACAGTCAAAACAGCCCCCCCCCCGGGGGGGGGTACTCCCGCGAATTTTGGATAGGGGTGTGCCGCGAAGGTTCGTGAACCCTAACCCTATTTAAGGACTATGAAAGCGAAAACTGATACCCTTTTTAAGGTCCAAAGCCGAAAAATGACACCCTATTCAAGGAAAAAACAAAATTATTATTAAAACATGAAAAGGAAAACTTCATTTCTTCTCTGTAACATTGGATGTATAGCATCAAGCATAAAATACTAGAATAAGCCTAGTTTAATAATATGCAATCATAACCGGCGGGCTTTTTCACACTCCAGTATTAGATAATACAATTAAGCTACCCTATCTAAGGACCACACCAGGGACACAGAAACAAAAGGGTCAAAAAAGATATCCTATTTAAGGACCGAGAACCTCAAAAACCATACCCTATTCCGCGGCACGTACCTATATAGCCTATATATGGGAGTACCCTTCCCACGAGAACGGGCGATCAACTGATCAAGCGCACTCCCATATAGATTCTATATTATACGAATTCATTACTTAAGTTGAAAATTGAATTCGTTTAATCTTTTTTAATTTTAGATTCATATTTCCATTCTTGTATACGAAACAAACAGAAATCCAAATACCACTGTTAAACATCTGCCTCGTACCCAGACGTCTCTCTCGCGCGCGCAAAGGAAGGCGGGAAGGACCCTTCCCACAGTCCCTTGCGGCTCATCACCAGTCGTTCGACTCTAACCTTGCGAAAAACCATGGATTTCTATTATCCATGGAAAAATTAAACGAAGCGCCTGAGGAGGAGGCTGGTTAAACATAGTGTGTAACTATTTCTCCTGATTACCAAGTTGAAGCCGAGACGAACCGACAAGGACCAAACGGTTTCCATTCACATTATTATTGACTTATAGAACAGTTGTATTAATCACATTGTCAATATTAACCAAAGAAATGACTGTCCCAGAGAAATGAGAATATATTATATGACGGGTGAAACTGGAGGGACCACAGGTAGCCCAAGCTCAAAATTTTAGCATCGGCGAACATCGACATTGTTGCATAACATTCGAAATATAAGGATTTGTAAGGGAAAAACCGATCGTTTCTGTAACCTACGAAAATGAAAGGATTTCAATAAAAAACAGCTTACCTTACATAAAATGTGCGTTACGTCTCTCCTGTGTGGTTCCTCGGGCCGATTAATGGCCGTTTTATGGGTTGTACTGTGCACTTTCGTAGGTTACGGAAACGATAGGTTTTTTTCCCATACAAATCCTTGTATTTCGAATGTTAACAACAATGCCGATGTTCCCCGATGCTCATATTTCGAGCTTGGGCTACCTGTGGAGGGACGTGATTCAATATGCAAAGTGAAAATAGAGTAGGTGTGGTATCTTACAACTTTGCATCGCATCATTTGGTATCAATGCACTTATAATTTACACTACACCAAGCCATTGTTTTTTTTTAATCCTGTTGTGTGCGGCATCGTATGTCGCAACAACACTAGCGTGCATACCGTAAAATTCCGAAAATAAACCCCGGGGTTTAAATTTTTCAAAGTTCCTTTTTGAGGGGCTTATTTTTGGAGGGGCTTATATTCGAAGGGGCTTATGTACGGAGGGAAATTTGCGTTTTAAAATCGATCGGGCTAGCCTTATTCTTGGAAGGAAATTTACCGTTTTCTTCGTTTTATTTTGTATTTGAGGGCAATTTCCAAGTACAAGACCCCCGGGGGGGCTTATATTTGGAGGGGCGATTTAACGGAGGGTTTTTTGTGCTACGAGTTTGGGGGGGCTTATATTTGGAGGGGCTTATACATGGAGGGGCTTATTTTCGGAATTTTACGGTATATATTTGAAATTGTTTTTGGTTCTACATCATCATTTTGGAGGGCCCAGGTCAGGGGCATACTGGCTCGTATTTTTTATTATCATCTTATTTTTCTTCTTCTGCGTTTTATAATTAATGGACTTAGTCTTCGTCTCATAAAAATACAACAAAATAAATAACTTGACAAAATATCCACTCATGGTGAGCAGATGCCGCTTAGTCAACAAAGTATCATCCACCCAAACGGTCCCAGAAATCTTTGCGCTAGAAGCTTGTACCCATTCTCCCTTAGTTGGTGGAAGAGATTAGAACATCCCTTTTCTTTACGCCTTGCGCTTCTTTCAACTAGGCAAAGGCAAACAGTAATGCTGTTAAGACAAACCACGATTATTTTGCGCCACCTCACATGATAATTTTTTTCTTTCAATAGGAGCAGTCGTTTTTTTCTTTTTTTATATAAGCTAAGGAGACGTGGAGCTGCCTCGTCCGACATTATTTATCACGACAAAACAATACAGTTTCTTGAGGTTTCCTCACTTTTGTCCAGCGGCCACTTTAAAATTTAAGTCTTTATATGATAATAACGGACTAAAAACACATATTTCCACTACCTATCAGCTAAATATAAGAAAAGCATTTTTCAGGGGCAATAGAACTTTTCTCAATTGTACACAACAAATAGTGAGTAAAGACAAGAATTTGTATTGGTCAACTGAGTTGAACACCGTAGAGAAATTAAGAAGCTGATGTTTTTAGCGCAGCCCTTTCCTTAGAGCGAATCTCAGTTTTAGAAACTACTGAAACTACAACCTTTTTATAACTCATTTGAGTCGGACAGTACACTGTTATCTACAGGTAACGTGATGATATATGTGGACCAATCAAACCTTCGGAAAATGAATTTTAATGATTTCCATGACATGGTTTGCGCTTGATTGTCGTATGATTGACTTAATGTTCCGCGTTCCTCCGTTGCCTGACATATGAAATGGCGGCTGTTTTAGTTTCGAGTAATAAAATCTTAAAAACTAAAGTTCAGCTCCTTAGATCTTTCGAGGATTTCCTTTTTACAAAGCAATCTAAATTTTAATAAATGTGTGGAATCGACTGATTAATTTAGCTAGAAAACAAAAAGCATCATTGCATTTGTACCCTATGGTGATTTTAAACTCTGTCGATTAGCGTAAATATATATTTGGTAAGGTCTGGTAAACACATAATAATTAAGTTGCTCACGACAAATGCACTAAACTGGATCAGGAAATAATCTAAACTACTGTTATTATCGTTCCTGTCTAAAGATCTCAAGGGAATCGTGGCCAAGGGAATCCAGGAGGTCCTTCACTGTGGCTTCCTCTCCAAAAATATCTGACAGCTTTCTTTGTGCAGGAGCAACCACCACATCTCGGCACATATATCGAAAATTTTCATGCAACAGCTTGTCAGTGTTCGCTATCTTGAGAGGACGTTTCGGGGGCTGCTCAGTGAACCACTCATACTCATCAAGTTTTTCATGGCACTCTTTAGGGTAGTCTTTAAACAGCGCGAAGTACTCCTCTTTCCCGGTAACTTTATGGATGACTACTATGAGGCTAGGAGGCAGGTAAGGAAGCTTCATGTGCAGCTTTAGAAGCTTCGCATAAACCAAGCACTGATGCAAATGCTTCCCGCATAAATCGGTTTTTTTCTCCCAATAATCCGACAAATTGTCGACGACCTTAAACTCCACGATCATGACCGGGGTCTNAAGCTTCATGTGCAGCTTTAGAAGCTTCGCATAAACCAAGCACTGATGCAAATGCTTCCCGCATAAATCGGTTTTTTTCTCCCAATAATCCGACAAATTGTCGACGACCTTAAACTCCACGATCATGACCGGGGTCTTCTCGAGTGCCCAACTGCATGCAATGGCATCAGCTTCTCCTTGCCAAAGATACACCTTGGGATGTTTGTTCTCATTTGTAGCAACTTCTCTCATGAAGCCAAACAGTGGAAACTTACTGTCACGGAAGGATAGGTTGTGTTCTTCTTCGATGGAGGAAATAAGATCTCGTGCTACACGCTCTTGGATGACATCCTCCTCTGACGGGGACGTAGAACTGCTAGTGGAAGATCCATCAGTATCGCCACGATTTGTTTTGACTGTTTTGATCCACTTAGCTAAAAGCGCATCCCATACTCCTCCTGGGCGTTCGTATGTTACCTCGGAAAATGGTATTAATTTTGCGTTTTTCGGTCCAAATTCGAGGAGCTTTTGCTTGATATTTGGGTTGATCTTAAGAGGAAGCAAGAACAAACACATAACTATCAAATTACATCTTACAATATTCCAAAATTGCCTTGACTACTGTGCTAGAACGACCAAGAGAGAAACTCACCCGATATAAGTACTTAATTTTCTTCGAATGGTTTTCCCTCGATGGATTCAATAAATCGTCCACAGAAATACCTCTTTTCTCTAGCGTATCTCCATGTTGTCTGGCAGTGCCATTCTCTTCTATTATTTGCCTAGTGTACCAAAGCGGTAGTGGCTTTTCAACGCCGGCCATTTTGAAAGTGGAAGAGTCTTCTTTTATGTTGCTAAAAACACAGGTAGCCCAGGCTCGAAATATGAGCATCGGCGAGCATCGGCATTGTTGCGTAACATTCAAAATATAAGGATTTGTATGGGAAAAAAAACTTATCGTTTCTGTAACCTACGAAAATGAAAGGATTTCAATAAAAAACAGCTTAACTTACTTAAAATGTGTGTTACGTCTCTCCTGTGTGGTCCACGGGCCGATTTATGGCCGTTTTATGGGTTTTTATGTAACCCTTTATATAGAGAGAAAACCGTTTACAACAATGCCGATGGCTCGATGCTCGCCAATGCTCATATTTCGAGCTTGGGCTACCTGTGCCAAAAATAGTGGTGTAAGCTCATTGGCCAACGTCTAAGTAAAGGCCACCCATTGAGAGCCAGGTGTCGCAAATGTCTTTTTTCTTTTTTAAGGTAGGACTTACCCTAGCTGGGATGAAGGGGTCAGGTGGAGGGGCGGGGGGGGGGGGGGGGGGGGGGGGGGGGGGGGGGGGGGGGGGGGGGGGGGAGGAGGGCGTTGTTAACTTGGGTAGTCAATGACATGACTCACAGATTCCGGGAGGTTATAGATGGCAAGGTAAATGAATCCTGCGTATTGTTGGTTTTCACATGACGTCACTAAAATTCAAACCAAAAAACTATCGATCCTACCGAGATTTTACTTTGATGCATTAGAGCAGCTGAAAACTAATTTTCATACAAATTTTCGCTTTAAAAGGGTTCTTGGTTGTGTGATAGAGTACGCTTGAATTTCTAAACTTTAGCTTGACGCGGCATTTACATGACAGCCAAGAGAGCTGTCATGTGGGTTAAGAAAAATTATTTATTTCAGGAAATTTTGCTATCTAAACAGTTCATGTATTGGAAAAAGTATTACTTTAATGTTTATGAGTTTCTCGCAGAATAAATTCACGCTTTTGTAGCAAAACTCGGTAATAGATGTTTCTGTTGGTTTCCGTCCGCCATGTTGGAGCTCTTCCGGATGAGCAGGCCAGCATGGCGTCTCCATACAAATCTCTATAATTTTGGGTAAAACATTTCTTCGGAAATCTATTATACGAACTATTCCTCTGACCTGAATCTTGGCGAGGGTCGTTGTATATTTACCTCCTTTCATTTCCCAGATTCTGGACTTATCTATTGAACGGTTTTGATTTTTATTTTGATCTACTTTGAATAGCGTGATACTGAAAACCAGCAATAAGAACCTATTTGATTAAGAATCTCCTGGCAGAAATTTGCCGCTTTATACCCAATAATACACAAGAACCCGTTTAGCCAAGCAAGATCAAGCATGTTCTTATCTGTGGGTTACCTTTAAATTATGATAAAAAGTTTAACCCAGGAGATTGACTTTGAGATTGAAAATTTATATTACAAAAAAATACTTTAGTTATTAACTTTTTATATAAAACGACGACAGCCAAATCCTGCTGTTTTATCCAATGGCGTGTTAGACAAGCTAAATCCACGGAAGGCAGTTGATTTTGATTTCATCTACCAGCGGTGTTTACGCTTATAAGCTCCTGCCATAACGCAAACTCTGACGAGACTGATCTATCATTTTATTGCCAATAAGTTATGGCCAACTGTATAGGAGAGTAGCAACATCACTCCGGTGTTCAAAACAGCTAATGAGGCTGATAAGATTTCCTGTCGTCCGGTGTTGATCTTCTCTGCTCTCTCTAAGATCTACGAGAATAAGGTGGTTGCAGATCAAGTGTATTCCGAATTTTCTCCAAGTCTCTCGCCCAACCTCACTGGTTATCTTAAGGGACACTCTTGTTGTACTGCAGTGTTGAAAATGGTAGGAGATTGGAGGTTGAGTCTTGCCAACCGAGAGGCTGATGCTACGCTCTTCAGAGTTGAACTGATTAAGGCGTTTGACTTCGTATGCCACGCCCTATTGCTTGCAAAACTCAGAGCTTATGGCTTCACAGATCAAGCATTGGAGTTGATGAGGAAATACTTGTAAGGTAGGAGGCAGAGGGTCAAATTGGACGGCGTTTACTCTGACTGGAAAACTGTCAGAGTTAGGGTCCCTCAGGGGCCCTGTTAGATCCTTTGCTTTTTAATATTTATATCAATGTGTATGCAGATGACACGTGCATTACGCAGTATGCATCGGACGTCCCCCCTCTAGTGCTAGAATACATTATTAACTCTGATCTTCATAAATTACAGTAAAAACCCGCGAGTAAGAACCTACATTTTCTGGAGTTAGCCTAAACAGGTTCTTATTTAAATAGTAGTTAACACAATTTAGGCTATTTAGGTTCTTAAATAGGTTCTTATTTCTGTAAAAAAAATAAATAAATAAATAAATAAATAAAAACTACAAAACGAGATGGTAATCTGCGTGTTTTTCAATTTCAAAATGCGATACAACAATATTAACGTCTCGCACTTTATTTTTTTTTACGTCAGTAAATTAGCACTTTTATTTGCACAGCAATACCAAGCTCCTAATTCTCCAAACAGGATTCTTGCACAGCTTTGCAGCTGCATTTCACTAATATGACTTAGAAAAATAAGAACCTGTTTTTCATTTTCTAGGCTGAACAGGTTCTTGTTTATAGGGGTTATAAATGGCAAATTTTAGGCTAACATGTTCTTAATTTTCAGGTTCTTACTCATGGGTTTTTACTGTATCAACATGGTTTCGGCAAAACAAGTTAGAGCCGTAACGCATCTAAGACTCAGGCAATGGCCATAGTTCCAGTACTCTCTCTCAATGGCTTTAAGTAGATGACAGTGCAGCTGTGGACAATACTGGCACACTTAAAATTCTTGGTGTAACATTAGATTGTAAGCTTTTGCTGCTTTTTCTGCTCATGTGTCCGAACAAGTTAAAAAGTAAACTTCAAAAATCATGAATAATCGCATAAGCTCATTGACTTGTCAAATAGTCGATAATACTTCGGCTCATGATTTTAACCCCGATAAAACACTGCCGTTCGTTTATCAAACATTACGTAATGGGCACCCTTCATAAAGCACGTACTTTTCCCCATTTAGAATATTGTTGTCCGCTATTGCTTGGAGTTGGAAGAACTCAAATCAAAACGTCGTATTATTATTTGTTAAATATGGTTGGTCTAGGAACGCTAGAACAAAAAAGAAAATTCTAGGCCCTAATTTTAGTTTATAGATGTATCAATAAACAAGCCCCACGCTACATACAAGAATTTTTTAATATTAAAGTCTGTAATTACAATTTAAGGTGGTTGGGCACACCGTATTTAATGCTACTTAACAGTCAATCTAGAATGGCGCCACGTCTCATCATTTTTTTTTCTTACTTTTAAACGTCTTTTACATAAGCATGTTCTTTAATGCCAGCAATGATTAGTTTCAGTGTTAACACTATTTGTACATAGATGTATTTAGGCCGAGTAATTATCAACATAATTATTACTAATTATTATATGGACAGATTTAGGGATATCAACTTTTAATTAATTGTTTGTTTGTTTGTTTGTTTGTTTTTTGCTTTTTCTTTCCTTTTCATGCATATTTTTTAACGAGTTTTTTCTTTAACCCCTAGATGTAGGGTGGTTAACTAAATTATTATATTTTATTGATGCGTTTTGGACGGATTTTATTTGCCTCGTATACCCTCTTCTCACTCTCCATATTCTGATCTTCCCCTAAAAGAACAGGTGTTGCCTGAACGGAAGGTTTGCGAATCGACAGATTTGACTGGAACACGATATAGTTCTTCAAAGGATCACAAAATCTTACAGGAGCACCCAGCGACTTTTTTCTGAAAAATAACTGTTCGAAGGAGCAAATATTGCCTAGAAATTTCTAACGCTTGAGAAAAGCTAAAAATTTCTGGATAACCATTCCATTCGTCTAAAATATTCGGAGGTTTTCTAATAGCTTAACTACGATTTTTGGAGGTTGTGTTAAACAAATGTTAATACCGAGATATTGCTATTATTGTTAAAAAAAAAAGGTCTCCTAAAACTTTCGGTACGAAGACAAAATGTCCCCTATAATTCTCTAACGAAAGCAATCAAGGCTTCTTCATGTCCTAGAACTTTCGACCGGACCCGGGGTAGCTAACACTTTCGGATGAGACGAAAAACCACCTAAAACTCTCGTGACGACCAAGGTTCCCCTAAGACATCCCAACAGACAAATAATTTTTAGGACAACTCCAAATTAACCAAACAGGCTTCTAAAGTATAGAGAAAACCATCTGAGACACGTCTAGCGTAACTGGAAACATTCGGTCGTTGGGTGCCCTGATCTTCTAGTATAACTGATTAAAAAATGGGACTTTGTATAAACTGTGTGTCAAGCCACTTGGACGCCTTTACTAACCCTTACGAACGACAGCAAACAGTCAATTCAAGAATATTTCAGTTTCAAAGGCGATGGGAAACTGTTGTTACCACAGTTGAGTACTGCCAGTGACTGAAGAAGTGATAGTTTCTTGTTTGTTGCAGACGGCTGCAATCACCAAACTGACGTAAAACAAAGACACTGAAACAATACCCACACCACACATGTACCACAATACATAAAAACTTATCGCAATAAATGACAACACTAAGAACTTTATCATGCGGAGAGAGGAAATTAGTAAACTTATGAGTGAACTTTCGAAACTTAACATTTCACCAGCGAAGATACTAAATCTATCATAGTGCGTAGATGCAGTCATTTGGAAACTCATCAATATTAAAGTGTTCAGAAGTTTCGAATAATAAAATATTAAAAACTAAAGTTCAGCTCCTTACATCTTTCGAGAATGTCCTTTTTACAGAGTAACCCAAATTTTAATAAATGCTAAAAAACTAAAAGCATCATTGCATTTGTACCCTATAGTGATTTTAAACTCTGTCGATGAGCGTAAATATATATTTGGTAAGGTCTGATAAACACATAATAATAAGTTGCTCACGACAAATGCACTAAACTGGATCAGGAAATAATCTAAACTACTGTTATTATCGTTCCTGTCGGAAGATCTCAAGGGAATCGTAGCCAAGGGAATCCAGAAGGTCCTTCAGTGTGGCGTCCTCTCCAAAAATATCTGACAGCTTTGTTGGTGCAGGAGGAACCACCACATCTCGGCACATATGTCGAAAATTTTCATGCAAGAGCTTGTCAGTGTTCGCTATCTTGAGAGGACGTTTCGGGGGCTGGTCAGTGAACCACTCATACTCATCAAGCTTCTCATAGCACTCTTTAGGGTAGTTTTCAAACAGCACGAAGCATCCTTCTTTCCCGGTAACTTTATGGATGACTACTATGAGGCTGGGAGGTAAGTTTTTCAGCTTCATGTGCAGCTGTAGAAGCTTCGCATAAACCAAGCACTGATGCAAATGCTTCCTGAATAAAACGGTTTTGCTTTGCCAATAATCCGACAAATTGTCGACTACTTTAAACTCCACGATGACATACTTATTGAGTTTCCAACTGCCTGCAATGGCATCAGCTTCTCCTTGCCAAAGATACAACTTGGGATGTTTGTTCTCATTTGTAGCAACTTCTCTCATGAAGCCAAACAGTGGAAACTTACTATCAAAGAAGGATAGGCTGTGTTGTTCTTCGATGGAGAAAATAAGATCTCGTGCTACACGCTCTTGGGTGACATCCTCCTGTGACGGGGATGGAGGTCTTAAATTTGACATCCGGTCACTGAGAGTAGAACTGCTAGTGGAAGACCCATCGGTATCGCCACGATTTTTTTTGATCCACTTAGCTAAAAGCGCATCCCATACTCCTCCTGGGCGTTCGTATGTTACCTCGGAAAATGTTATTAAGTTCGCGTTTTTCGGTCCAAATTCGAGGAGCTTTTCCTTGATACTTTTGTTGATCTTAAGAGGAAGCAAGAACAAACACATAACTGTCAAATTACATCTCACAATATTCCAAAATTGCCTTGACTACTGTAGTAGAACGACCAAGACAGAAACTCACCTGACCGCGAAAGTGCTTAATTTTCTTCGAATGGTTTTCCCTTGATGGATTCAATAAATTGTCCACAGAAATACCTCTTTTCTCTAGCGTATCTCCATGTTGTCTGGCAGTTCCCTCCTTTTCTATTTCTTGCCTAAGATCCTGAACACACTGTCTTGAAACGCACTCGCACTCCATTTTGAAAGTGGAAGAGCTATCTTCTATCGTGGTGTGAGCTCATTGGCCAACGTCTAAGTAAAGGCCAACCGTAGAGCGCCAGATATCTTAAACGTCTTGTTTTTTGTTTTGTTGTTGTTTTTTTTTTTAAGGTAAGGCTTACCCCGAGATGAAGGGGTCGTTGGGGGGGGGGGGGGGGGGGGGGGGG